AAATGCAACGAGGTAGATTCTAAATCACATGAAGAAAAACTGTTTAAAGACCTACAATCACCCTAAAGCCACTACATCAATTAGTTGAGATTAAGGAAAAGAAAAGGATTAGTTGTTGTTAAACTTACATTAGGTTGTGTTTGCCAGAAGTCCTTTTGTTTGGTTAGAGATATGTTTATGGCAGAGCAGGTGTGAGATTTTAAGAACTAATATATCTTAAAGACAAAATATCGAGTATCGGGATGACCCGTAGTAATGGATTTGGAGTATTCATATTACTGTCACCCAACTAGTCAGTGCATGGTGACTAGTTAATTATACGTACTAAATGCATGACAGAGGCTGGTGCTTTAGTTGCATTGAAGGTTTCCATTGAGATTCAATCCCATTGGTAAGGGAAGCAAATTTCCAAGTATCATTTCAGAACGATGTTATGTTTGCATATTCATGACTCTGAGTTGATGGCAGCTTCCATTTGTCAGGGATTAAAATATGAGAGATAACTGATGTTTCCTAATTCTTGCCATCTGAGAAAGTTGAAAGTCCTTGTTGAATAAAAATTGATGAAGGAACTGTTCTTTTATTCTAGTTTGTTCTCATTCTTGTTCTCTCAAGTTCTTGATTTAATTCCAGTCTCATCATAAGAATTATTTAGCTAGGATAAATAAGAATTTATTCTTAGTTTGTGTCAGAAATACAAGATAAGAAGCAGGTGGTAGATCTTTCTTTTCCTTAATGTCCCTCATTTTTTGTTGGAATTCATTATAAGAATGTATTTTCTTGGATAAGCCTTTCCTAAGCTGTTCTCCCATTTTTGTTTCAGTTGTCAGACTTATGAAGGTGGAATTGCTGGCGAACCAGGTTCTGAAGCTCATGGTGGGTAAGTCTCACGTTGGAGATATTCTCATATTTCTAATCTTGTTTTGCTCTTTTTCTTATAGTTCTCTGTCAATGTTAGTTGCCGTAGTAAAACTATCACTTCTCAGCTTATGATGTTACTGAAGCCCTTTACATTTAACTCATTTTCTAGGTATACTTTCTGTGGGTTGGCTGCAATGATTCTGATCAACGAAGTGAATCGATTGGACTTGCCAGGTTTAATGGTAAGTTGCTTTAGGACTCTGTTGGGGACTGATGAATGTTGCTAAGATAATCATGTCTGTGTGTACTCTCTTTTTTCCCCATCAGGGTTACATGACTGTGGCATTCCTCTCACTGTCATGAAATGGGATATTATCATTTCTTTTTTGTTACTGGCCTTCATGACTGATCAAATGAAACTGAAACAAGAAAAGTATCTTGTTATAATAGTTGCATTTTAGTTCGTCTTCACAAATGTTCCACATTGCTTTTTTGTTACTTCTCATAAAATGAAAAGGAGAACAAAAAGAACGTAGAGATGAGTTGAATCTCAGCTGGCAATTGAAGAACTGGAGAAGCATTTTAGTGCTGTAATTACTGAGTACATGAGATTATTCTAGTAGTTAAGGTGATAAGCCATAATCCAAAAAACAAAAACAAAAAATCATTGGTTTTACAATGGTAGGCTATTTTATTTTTACAGATACAACTATTTATTGGATATTTAGGAATCAAAAGTGAAAATAAATAGGAAATAACTTTGATGCACTGGAAAAGTTAGCAGGTGGAAAAAAGTGAATTAGATGATAAACAGCAGGGAAATAACATGCAGCATTTTGGTAGTTGTCCCTTATTGGGTATGTTGGAGTATTAAACTTTTGAATGCCTTTTTTTACCTTGTGGTCCAACCCTTCCCTGGACCCACTATGCGTGGGGAGCTTAGTGCACCGGGCTGCCTTTTATACGGTGGATAGGAGGATATCTAGAAACTCAGGAATGGCCTTCTGGCCTTGAATTTTTGTTTTGACGTTGGTTTCACCTTATATTTACTTGACTGGTCCATTTTGTAGCAGCTGCAGGGGATTCTTTACCAGGTTTTGCTGCTGCATTCCTGGGATTGTTGGGGGTAGATTATTAATCAACATATTAGTTCCTTTTCCTTCTAAATATCTTTCGTATAGTAGTACCTCTACATGACATCCTCTCAGTCTCTTTACTTCTCTTAGTAGTTTCATTCTGTTGCTTTTTTAATAACTATTCCCAAGTTGAGTTCTATTGAGTTGTTGGTGAAGTGATGTTACTTAAATCTGGATCATCTGACGGTATTGATGGAGATGATGTATTGTGATTATGAATCTTTAGGATTGGGTGGTATTTAGACAAGGAGTCGAAGGTGGATTTCAAGGCAGGACAAATAAATTAGTCGATGGCTGCTATTCCTTTTGGCAGGTGATTTACCAGTTTTACCTTTATGTTCTGAACTCTCCCATTTCCAGTTTAATTATTACTGAGCTAAAGATGACTTTGATTGACCAGGGTGCGGTAGTCTTTCTTATACAAAGACTAAATTTGGTAGTCCATGAACAACTAGGGCTGTCAAATGACCTCAGTACAGAAAGTGCTGATGATTCTTCAGAGTCGGAGTTATCTGATGAAGAAGAGCATTTGGAAGGGACATCCTCCCATGTTCAGGAGACTTTCCCTCTTGGACAAGAAGGTATATCAATTTGAGGAACAATAGTTCAAAAGGCCAAAAAGAAAGTACTCCTGTACGATTCACTGGTCTACCGTTTGTTGCAGTGTTATCCAATTTTGTCCTTGAATCTGAATTAAATAAAGCATATCATGTTATAAGGGAATCCAGTGGGTGGAATTTAATAAATGAAGGGTGAAAAGAATCTTCCATCTTAAACCACTTCTCTTGTCACATCATTGGCACTTGGATTGTATATGAACTTGATATCTCCAAATGGGCAGGTAGTTAGTAACCTATAGTGCTATCAGCAGGACTTCACCTCTACTGGGTACCATATGTTTCATGCTTCAAACAATGTGTGTGTACAAGCAGGATAATCATATGGGTTGTATGTCCCTTACCCTGATTCAATTATCCATTTGACAGTGTAATGAGATTGTTTAGTAGAGCATTTCATTGGAAGTTTGAAACTCTGACAGCTCCTAATATTTTTCTCCAGATATGTTGGGTTATCTAGCTCTCTCTTTCTTTTTGCCTGCCCAACCCTTTCTTTTAGCTCTAATCACAATTACTTTCTAATCACATCCTTTTCATTGTTTTTAGGTGCAGGACAAGATAATGCTTCTGATAGCCCAAAGATAGCAGATACTGGATATGAGTTTATCAACCGGCCCATAGCTATGCAGCCTCTCTTTGACAGCATGTATCTGCAACAATATGTTCTTCTTTGCTCCCAGGTGCTTAAATTTTGAGAAAATATATTCTGAAGATCCCTGCTTACTCTTGCATGTCCCTTGCTTTGGTCTACGATTGTAATGCATATGCACAGCAGCACAAGCTGGAAAATAAGGGATAAAGAAAATATCTCAAAGAAAATTATAATCGTATAAGAAGCTAAGATTTTGTTAATTAGATTTGTAACATCACTGATCTGCAAATGAGAAACTGCTTTATTTGAGCTTTCTAGGCCCTATATAGTTAAAGAGAGAAGTAAATTATGTCGGGTTTCTTTCCTAGTTTCGTCTGAAGATGGAATTGTTGTCTGATTTTGGAGCATCATTAAACCACACCTTTTTTTTGCTTGAACAGCTTGAATATCATTTGTCTACCGAGTATCATTGTTTCTCCTTTAACATATAAATTCAAGAGCCTTTTAAAGGCATGTGTGTTCGATATAATGTTTTTTTTAAAATTTGTTTTGGAACATGAAGTCGTGAACTAATCATTCTCTTAATTGGTGTCGGATTCAACAGCTCTATTTTGCATTCATTTCATATTAGAGTTCAATTTTCATGTGTTTAATGGGGAACTATTTATTCATTCTTCAAAGGGAAAAAGAAAGTTAAGTGGGTTTTAAATATTCTGTATCAGATGCTGCGACTCACCAAGATATTAGTGTTAGATTCTTTTGGCAGTGTATTATTCCTGTTTATATTGCTTTTATATCCTTTTCAAGATTCTAATATCATGTTGTGGATGTAGATTGAAGTAGGTGGTTTCAGAGACAAACCTGGGAAGGGTAGAGACTACTATCATACGTGTTACTGTTTAAGTGGTCTTTCAATTGCTCAGTATAGCTGGACCGACGAAGCTGATTCTCCACCATTACCCAGGGATGTATTTGGTCCTTATTCCAAATGTCTGTTGGAACAGGTTCACCCACTCTTCAACGTAGAGTTGGATCGGTATTATGAAGCTCGCAAATACTTCTCAGGCTTGTGAGAATGTTTCACCACTTTCATTAGCACCAACTTTTCAGAAACGTAGGTGCATCCAGATCTTAAAAGAGTCACTGGGTTCTTGTAATCGTTTATATGTACAATATCTATACGAAATACAAGTTGAGAGTAACGGGTACCTTCTGAACCTGCTGAACTAGCTCTAAATCCGTCTCTGTTTAGTTAGGTCTGTAAACATCAATGTGAAATTGCGAGATATGCATGTAAAAGTGGCTATGATTTACGAATCTGGATACTGGTGATTAGTGATCAGAAATTTCATTTTGGTGAAAACAATTTGTTATCAGGCTGCAACTTTTCTTTAATAATCTACTAATGTTCTTTACGTACACGGGGAGGTAGAAATTGCGTAATAATTGTTAAATAACTCGAGGATTCATAGTGACAAGTTAATCTGTCAACGCACTGCTTATTAACGAAGGATGCTTTGTACCGTTTCTAATACGTATTTTTTTATTTTCTTGATTTGTCAGTATAATTTCGTTTGTAAAAAAAAAAGGTACTCCTATAATTTTGTTTGGAAAATTAGGGTAAATGGCATATGACTCATTTTTCTTTTTATTTAGTTATAAAAAGAATGATATAATTTATAGCCACAAAAATATTATAATTTATTTTAAATTTTATATCACAATTTTTAATTTTTCTTACTTTCTTAAATTGTAAGAGAGTACTATACATTTGAATACTGTACTCGTATTTAGTAGTAGTCCTAAATATAGAGCTTTCCCAAATTCAGACGTGGAAGACGAAAGTGGAAACCGCCAAAACTATCATTATCGCAGAGACCTCATCTTTCAACTTCCATTCATTATTCTATTTTCCGTTTCAATCCATTTTCATACCCCAAATCCCATTTTTGTAGCAGCACTGTTCTGTTTCTTCATCATGGAATCGAATCATACCAAGCAGACTCTGCAAACGGCTATGGAGAATGAACAGCAGCATCTCTCCCTCTCTGATTCAGATTCTACTGATTCTGAAACTGATAAAGCTATTATTTTCTCTTCTCCAGCTCGTTTTCATAGCGCCTCCGATTCTGATGATTCCACTAAGTCCAATACAGATAAAGCTACTAATCCTAATTCTACTACTGCTAATGCTAATGGTGCTGTTAATACAAATTCTACGAAGGCGGAATCTCAGCCGAGTTCATCAATTTCTTCCGACTCAAATGATTTTACTAAGTCCGGAACCGATAAAGCTAGTGAGAGTATTTATACTACTGCTATTGCTCATCCTACCGTTAACAGAGATTCTACTAAGGTATCTTCCCCGCCGGTGGAATCTCCGCCGAGATCATCAATTTCCTCCGATCAAATTTCTCTTCCTCATGAGTCCTTCACTCTGGAGGATAATAAGCATTCTGCAGCTCCGACGGGGAGTCCACCGGAAAAACCTCCGATACCGGAAGCGGTAGTGAAGAAGTTTATCAAGGAGGAGCCACTGGCTTTGGTGAAAGCAGATCTGTTTGTCGGAGATGGTACAGCTAGTGTTAAGGAAGGTGAAGACAGCGGCAACCGTCGGCCGAGAGGAATGCCACAGTTGTCAATTTTAAGAAAAGTGAGGAGGGATGAGATGGTAAAGAAAGCGGGTTTAGGTTTTAGGATTTTTGGGTTTTTGTTTTGTTTGGTTTCATTTTCTGTTATGGCAGCTGATAGGAATAAGGGTTGGGCTCTCGATTCATTCGAACGTTACAAGGAGTTCAGGTTTATCACTTGTTCTCTTTACATTGACTGAATTAATTCTGCAGCGCATTAAGTTTCACTCTTTCACATCAATGAATAAATGTGTTTGGTGGTAGTGTAGTTATGAATGATAATATTGGTAGGTGAATAACATTGCAGGTACTGTATGTCAGTGAATGTCATAGGATTTGTGTATTCAGGAGCTCAGGCATTTGATTTAGCCTACCAATCTGCCACCGGCAAGAACATCGTGCAGCATCATTTGCGCTACATGTTTGATTTTGCCCTTGATCAGGCAAGTTGGTTTGTCCAATTACACTAATACAAGTTGTTTATAGCAAAATAATAAATATAAGATTTATTATCTTTATACATGCATATTTCATGGTTAAGTTCTATAATTGTTTTAAGCTTTTAGAACTTCTGACTTCTTCTCTTTTGGGGGTAATGGAAGTTATGGCTTATTAATTATGATATTGAGCGCTTTGATTGAGAGGAAAAATTTGTTTGATGGTGGTGATGATTTTGTACTAGCCTGGTGAAGACTGTTGTAGCTATCTAACTCTAAGTAAAATGAACAGAAAAGGGGATGGAGAGGAATCATATACCCCATAAAAATGTTTATTTAATTCACTCAAAAATATTCCTGCAGGGTTGGAGGAATTTTTCCTTTATGATCATCTAGGTGCCTATTAATTGCCAACTTTCATTGGCTGGAAAATACTAACAGGACCATCCCAACTGTAGAATCACCTTTTTGTGGCATATTCCTTTTGAGCCCTAAATTTTACCGACCCTCGGCTATATGCCTTTCATAAGCACACGTTCCTTTTTTTTACATTTATCTTGAGGATAAGTTTCTCCCATTAAACCAATATTGAGCCCTTACTAAAAACCAAACAAATCGAATGTGATTACATTAATGCCAGTCCTTCCTGAATTTAAGTGTTACTATGCTCGTTTGCATACTCTGCACTAGCAGACTGATTCCTGTGATTAGGTTCCTTCCATGGCTATCTTGTACATATAAGCATTTCCCAATAGGCTATGTTTTGTGTATCCTCTAAATGGCTATCTTGTACATATAAGCATTTCCCAATAGGCTTTGCTTTGTGTATCCTCTAAATTCCGAAAGGCTAAAATGACTAGAACTCTCCTAATGGCTAGTTGAATCTGTGTGGAAGATACTAAAGTAAAAAAATCAAGTGCAATAGAGATTGCAAAGAGGATATGGCAGATGATAGTTTGTAAACCTTCAGAACACCTTTTTCTCGTTGGATACACCTTTGTGGATTTGGTAATTCTCTTGGGCGCTAAATAGTTCTTAAAAGGTTTTAACTTACTGAGATACGAATTCAAGTGAAATGTTGTTTCTTTTGTTGGTTTTTCTGGTGAGGTCCTTTGGCAATTTTCTATATTTCCGTTCCGTTTTCTGCAATTTGCTTACAAATAGCTAGTTTATTTATTGGTACTTGATGTATACTTCAGGTTTAGTTAATTTAATTCTAAGAACCAATATTTTACAGTTAAGAAGGTTACTTAATTATGAATTATGGTTTGACAAACTTTCCTGCACCTGTGTATTCACAAAAGCAATGCATGCAGATACAATTATTTTGATCTTCAAAAAGAAGCAATAGACTATCACAGTTTTATATTAAGTGTTAGCATATATTATTTTTTATATATTAAGATGGACTCAGATGTTTGTGAATTAGTCATGAAATGGGCTTTGAAGAAAGCATACTTCAGTTGTAGCTAGCAGATATCAGTCTATTCTCATTTCTTTATGTGAAGTTCCTTTTCGTTCGTGAGAGTTATTGCATTTATGTACAACTTTACTGTCTCCATCCCACAAAGCTCCCTCACCAAGTGGTTCCAGGAGAGAGATCCCAAGGATATACCAGCAAGGGTCCTTTTGAGACCCAAACTTATCGGGTTGTAATTAATTTTGTATAATCTCATATTTAGTAGTCGAGACATTTTGTTTTGATTGATAATAATTATGTTGCTTTAAAGCTGATATGAAATATCCACATTTTAGGGGACATGACTAAGTTTTTAATGCAACTAAATAAACAATTTTAGGTCATATCTACAGGTAATTATGAAATATCCACATTTTAGGGGACATGACTAAGTTTTTAATGCAACTAAATAAACAATTTTAGGTCATATCTACTGGTAATCTAATTTTTTTCGAAGGTTGAATAAAGAACCAGAGCACATTTTATACTTGTTTAGCCAAGCTGGTACCTGGTCCATAGACCATATGGAGCTTCATTTTCTTGGTGACTAGGCCAGAAACTGAAGGCGACTCCTGATTTCATGCCTAAACGTGTGGAGAGCTTGTATTGATATTCATAATTTCTGTTAAAAATTACTATTTTTCTAAATGACAGGTGGTAACGTATCTTCTGATATCAGCCTCATCTTCTGCTGCCACTCGCATTGATGATTGGCAGTCCAATTGGGGCAAGGACAAGTTTCCTGATATGGCAAGCGCCTCTGTAGCATTGTCCTTCCTTTCATTTGCGGCTTTGGCCTTCAGCTCACTCATATCTGGCTATGTACTATGCAATTCCAGATCAACGTAGTCGTGTGCCATGTTTGGTTCTATTTGTGTGTCATCATCCTTTAAAGTTGCATATAATTGTATGATATGAAAAATCAGTTGGAGGTTGTTCAGGTGAAACTAAGGTTTCTTGAATTAATTATGTTGTAATGCTCCGTGAACAAGCTTTAGGATGATATTATATATGTGTTGCACAGTTTTCTGCTCTTGTTAGTGAGATATCCAATTATGAGAACGACCAGATTCAATGAACTTGTGGACAAGTTATCAGCTATTAAATTGATAAGCCATACTTTTCATCTGTTTTTTCGAAGGCCTTGGGAATTCGTAGACCCATGCCCAACATAATCCCCTTCCTAAGAGTTTCCAATTTTATTTTATTTTTTGCTTCCTTGACTTGAATCCACAATCTCAAGGTTGGAGGTAGAGGGTGCTTGTCATCTAAGCAATAATCTTGGTGCGTGAAGGTACTTCACAATTTGGCATAATGATTAAAGAAAGGGAAAAGGGTAAAAAATACTACTCAATTTTGTTTTATTGATTGACTATACCTTCACCGTTAAAATGAAGCTATTCTTAACTCTACCGTTAGTAATTTTATCATTTGTGTCCCTCAATTGGATGAAAAGCCCAAATCAATTAAAATTGCCCAAATTTATTTAAATTATTCAATTTCAACCCGATCCGACACAATTAAGGAATACAACTCATTTTTGTTCTCTTCATCTCTATTCATCTCTTTAAACTTGTGTTCCTTTTCAAAAACAATAAAATCATCCGACACAGCCCAACAATATCGAAAATAATGTAACAATGATTATGAACACAAGAACACTACAATGATTAAATATAGGTAATCAGAGCATTATTTTCCAGCCAGATCTAAAAAATTGTCGGAATTACTGGAGCTTGAAGCTCTAATTCGTTTTCCTCCTGTTTACCGGAGTTGGGATTCGCGGTGGTGGTTGGACACTATTCGCGATGTGGGCCTGGAGGAGGTCGAAAGAGTGGGTTTTGGTTGTTTCAGATTGGGTTTTGTTTACTGGTTGTTGATTGGTAGTGGCTCGTCGGAAATGGAGATGAGGAGAAGAGAGGATTGTGATGGCTTAGAAGTCTGAACAGTGGGGGTGATTGTTGTTTGGTTACTGAAAGAGGAAGCGTGTTTTGTTGAAGATCCTCCAATATCTACCATTTCATCTCCGTCATCTTCTCTACTTGTGGACAACTGTACTGCCGGTGAAAGACAAAAACTCCGGCTAAGAATTGAGATTACTGCGGCGTAGGTGGTGGCTATATTCTTGTAGCAAAAAAAATTGTGTGCTTTTGAATTACTCACAGATTAATCTTGAGATGGAATTGTAATTAGAGCTGGAGAGTTTGGGATGAGATTGGGTAAAACTGAAAGAAAATACTTCACTGTAAAAAATAATGATGATAAAAAAGATGATTAAGGCTAATAAAGTGGATAAAAAAGAGAGGAGAAAAACGAGTTTTTCTGAGAAGAAAAGAGAGAGAAGATAGAACAAAAATGGGTTATATTTTTAGGTGGGTTGAATCGGGTTAAAATTGGGTAATTTAAGTAAAATTGATAATTATAATTGGTTTGGGCCTCTTCATTCAATTGAAAGACACAAATAATGAAATTAGTAATGGCAGGGGCAAAAATAACTTCATTTTAATGGTAAGAGCACAGTCAACTAATAAAATAAAGTTAAAGGTATTTTTGACCCTTTTCCCCTTAATTTAATTAATAAGAATTTTGGTCAATGATACATTTAATTACTTGAGAAGCGGTGGTAAATATTGTCCTAAAATTTGAAGTATTACAAATATATTTTCATAGCAATTGTAATAATTAATTTCTTCTGTTATAATATATTAAGGTCATCGCGGTCATTATTCGAGAAGTGGTTTACATGTGTTGTACTAGAGCGCCTCCAAAGCTTCAGACAGTAGTCCATACTTGGTTTTTGTAATGACAAATAGTGTAAGGTCTAGGTGCAACGTTATGAGCTAATCTCCAATTTAGTAGAAATTGGGTTCTAATTAGGTATATTTTTAAGAATAGCTTAGCTCAGTTGATTTAGCTACTTTGTAATACTCTCCTGGTGATTAATAAAGTTGTTAGTTACAAAAATAAAATAAAATATGTTAAGCTCATCCATTATTACCCCCAAAGATGCACTATATATTGTGCAAGAGGAAAGACGATACATAGATACGTTTCTCCAATTTATTTATTTTTAGTTTTTCACCCAGTGTTTAATATCCGCATTAGGGTTTAATTAATTGAATTCGCGTCAAGTTAGACCTCACTCGTACTGTAGCATTTTTTCTATACATTCTTCCAACATTTTTTCTTTATATCAAGTCAATTGGATATGCTTTAAACGAAAATAACTCAAAATTATTAAGAAAATAAATGTAGATATTTCTTTTTGAGATATCAAATTCATCTTTTAACCATTTGGACAAATGTTTTTTTTTTTTCAAATTTAATATAAATAGCTTTAATTTCTTTTCAACATAATTTATAAATCAATAAAAACCAAAAAACAATTCTATAAAAGGAACAACAGAATAGAACTAAATAAAATATGGTATAGCTAACTAGACAATTTTAATTCTAAAATAAAAAAGAACAAATATTAAAAATAACTATAAAATCATTCAAAAGCCCAAGCATTCTCTTTACGGATCTCCTCCTCTTCCTCTCGAGTAAAATCATTCTTGATATCAAATTCTTTATGTATTTCTTCTGGTGTTTTCCCTTTAATCCTATCGGCAACTTCTTGACACATCATATCCAATATCTCCTTATCGTTAAGAAAATTAGCAGCTAAGATAAGAGCATGCAAAATCGAGTGGTGCACATTCACAAAAGCCTTGTCAAAATCCATCAACATGCCTTTGGAGACGCCTTCTTCTGAATGTTTCTTCCAGTATTCGATCACTTTGGTCATTGTTTTGCTATAAACATTAGGCAAGGGAATGACGTTTGAAACACAATCATCTTCAACCATATTCTTGATAGTTTGTGACCTTATGACTATCGCCTCGTCGAGTACAAATTTCTTGCCATTGACACGCTCAAATTACACTTCCTTTCAGAAGCATAAGCGATCGTTATCAAGTAAAGAACTCAACTTGTAGGTTGAGGTCGATCCCACGACGAAAATGGTTTAGACTTTACTTTTAACCAACAATTATATTCAATTAGTCAAATTATTTCCAGAAACAGGTAATAAAAGGGGGTTTGTGCTTGTGTGAAACAAATAGTAAAAACTTAGTAAGTAATCAATAATTAAACTCAACTTTGGTTGTTATCAAGATAAGAGAAATAACTAGGGTATACGTGTTCCCCATAATCTCATAACGCAGTAATCCTAGTAATAGCAATCCTTTTCTAGTATGTTACATGCAAAGTGATAAGTTAGGTATCTCTAAATCCTTGGTCCGGCATCTAGAGAATTTCATCCCGCACCTTGGTCCGGCTACGTGTGTATAATTTACTAACCCTTACCTTTACCTCATATTAGACATCATAATCGATGTTTGGCTTAGTTATTACTTCGCACCAATCGACACTAGCCTATTAGATAGTATCACACTAAATCTATGTTGATAATTCTTTTCTTGTTAATTACCTCCTTGGTCCGGCAAGTAGTAACAAGGCGAGTTCTAACGCGTGCACTCGTTAAAAAGACTTCTAAACGAAAGAATTATCAATACATGCAAAACACTATTCAAGAATTGCTTATTTACTATTCATACTTTGTTAATCGATCATGGTTCCCACAACCCTAGTTGTGGATTTAGTTACCCATACTAGCAAGAACACAATTCATAATTGTAGATGAAGAAATCATGAACTTACTTAAAGAAAATAATAAACCCAGAAGATTTACTTGAATTGCAAAGCCAAAATCTTCAAAACAAACTTTAGAAATCAATAATTGCTAGGGTTGCAAATTAATCTCCAAAGTTACAAAGCAAAAATAGAATAATAGTGTCTAACCCTCAAAAACGAGGTTTACATGTCCTATTTATAGAAAACAAATCCTAAATAAAAAGGGAAACAAATTAAGGAAAGTTTTGTTCAGGTACGCGTCTTCGATCCACGAGACTGACTTACGGACCGTCGATCGATCTACGGTCCGTAAGTCACTTCCGTCACTCGGGACTTAGAAAATATTTCATCTTCCAAAAAATCATCTTCTCTGAAGCAAACGACGGACCAACAGTACGGACCGTAGATCGACCTACGGTCCGTCAATACCTTCCGTAGCTCCATACTTAGCATTTTCAAAAATCAGGTACTGGAACCCTCGCAGTCTCAATCTACGGATCAACAGTACGGTCCGTAGATCAATCTACGGACCGTCAATGGGCACCGTGGTTCCACACTTGGTCAGATTTCCCTGATTTGTCCTCAACACTTTCCTGCTGATCTACGGTCCTCACCTACGGACCGTGAATGGACCTACGGTCCGTAGATGACCTCCGTGGATGCCCTTTTCTGCATTTTCTTCAGCTGTCTCTAAACTTTCGCGCCTGAACACCTTTCCTGCAAAACATGATAAAACACATAAAAACCAATATAAAAAGGCCCTAGACACACACAACTTGTAAGTGAAATGTATTAGAAATACCGTAAACTCACGGTATATCAACACCCTCAACTTAAATTCGTTGTTTGTCCTCAAGCGACGCACTAGGACTCTAAACGACACTTGTATAGAAGCAAGCATTTCTAACTCAAGCAATCACATGACTCTCTACCTCCTCATTGTTCGGGTGCACATTCCTTCTCATAGACTCGATAAGCCAACTCATGCGGATCACATCATGACACAGACCAACCTACTGACACACAACAGACACCTTCTTACTGTCAGCCAGGTACCAACTTTCCAACAATGTAACTAGTGCCCTTACTTCAACTGAAATCCTCATTTCGCATAAAAATTTACTTTCATTCATGGTACAAAGATTCATTCAACACTCACGCTCAGAAGTAATTTCAAATTCAGTTAGTGCTTACTGCCATAAGCTTGCCCTTATTTTCACTGCTTGGACTCTCCAAACTAGATTCTAAGATCACTATAGGACTTTATTGGCTTGTAACATAGGCTCAGGGTTAGGTGTGGTACATTTGGGTACTGTTTAGTGACTTTCTGCCCTCCTTGTCATCACACTAGGCTTTTAACCTC